TATATATATATACATACATACATGCATAATGTTTATGGATTTTTAAATGATATATTTATAATAACATAGTTATTTATTTATTTTGTGCTTTTTTATGAATATTTTCCATGCTGTATGAATATATGTTATGTATTTATATTTATAGTTGATTTATGTACATATAAATATTTATTTACATAAATACGTCTTTATTTCTCACGTTTTGAGATATCTTTATATCTCACAAAAATCACAACTATGAGATAACGAGGGGAAAGTGAAAATTAAGATAAGTGAATCTCTTTTTTTTCATCCATTTTGGAGACATTGTAAGCAGCTAGAACAACTTCAAAACATCTCCTTTTTGTTTTCCACAGAAGAAAAGAAAGTCATTAGCAGTTTGGAACGACATGGAGGTGAGTCATTAATGACAATTTTCCTTTTGGTGTAAACTAACCCTTTATATTGCAGATGTTTGATCTTAGCCACAATAAGGCAACTGGACTGGTTGTCCAAGCCAGACAGTGTTTCTACTCAATTGCAACGTGTATGGATCACTGAAAAGCTGCACCCTCAGTGACCCGCACATACTGTCTTTTGATTGTTCCCAGCCTCTAAGAACTTGTTTGGCGAGAGGATGGGTTAAGATTAGAACAGGAATTGGCACACAGCCACAGCGATTACCTGTCTCAGGTAAGAACTGTCTGTACGCAGATTCCACAATGGCCTGCGGCAACCGTGGCCTCGCATGATCTCTGCACAAAACACAAACCGCATAGAACAGGATGTCCCTGCTTTCTTTGAGCTGAATACATGAATGAACATGTCAGGCATTATGCGAACAAGTCCATTGAGGTTTGTCCTGATCTTCTCTAGTCTGCATGCCAAATGTCCAAAGCTATTTGAAAGGGAAGTGAAAGTGACATGTAATATTGCAATATTGGAATATGTGCTCTGCATTTAACCCATCCTAGTGCACACACAGCAGTGAGTAGTGAACGTACACACACACACACACACACCCGAAGCAGTGGGCTGCCTTTTTTTTAATTTTTTTTTATTTTTTTTGCTGCAGCGCCCGGGGAGCAGTTGGGGATTCGGTGCTTTGCTCAAGGGTCTCACCTCAGTTGTGGTATTAAGGGTGGAAGAGAGCATTGGTTGTTCACCCCGATGACTGCTCCTTATGCTGTTTTGCTATTGGATACTAGCATTTTAAATATTAATGTTAAATATGTGTACTGGAGTGGTTTAACAAACAAATGTTTGTGAATTGATGATGCCGGAACCGGATCATCCTGGCCAAATGTTAACCCTTGGCCATATGTCAGTATACAACATTTTTGAGAGGTTATGTTTACACACCATTTGTTGAATGGCAATCACGTTTATTGTCATGCATCAGATGGGAAACAGTGTCTTCCCTTAGAATACCATAAAGCTTAATCATTAGTAGTTAGGTGGAATCAACTATCACTATGTCATCTTAAATATTATCTCTAAATCCCCTAGTTGGGGTACAGCTTAAAGATTAGGCATGTTCCCTCCTTAGTGCAAGGATATTGATTAAACACTTAGTTTCTTTATTTGAACAGTGAGTCACCCGTGGCCAAGATAAATGTTTAAAGCAACAATGTCAATATGCACTGCAACATTTGATTTGAACATGAGATAACAGTGTTTTGAAAGATTAATCGATTAGCAATCCCTAATGGCATTTTATAAAATCGTATCATAAGTGGTGCCTGCTAATGTGCTAATAGTGTTGTTGAAACTTAAAGTGCTGAACTTTGTTGTGTAAGTCAGACTTATGATTATACTGAAGAAGTAAGCAATTGCTCAAAACACTCAGCAAGAACATCCTTAGCATAACAATTTCTTAGCAGCCACCTAGCAATCACCCAGAGCACCCCAGCAAAACTTGAACACACTTAGCATAGCCACATGCTGCAAACCACTCAAAATGTTCTAGAAACCACCTAGCAATCACTTGGAACATGCTAGCAATACTCTAGCAAATATCAAGAACACCGGTAGCCCAGTATTGTGCTAAAAACATTCAAAACTTCTTATCAACCATCAATGACTCAAAACACTTTAACAACACTCTAGCAAACATCCTTTGCATTGCACCATACTAAAAACTCAGAATCAGAACATATCAACATTGTGATGGATTATTTCTTCTGAAAATGAAAAAGACATTTTTAAAATATAAATTTTATATATTTTATTTGTAGAAACTGTGCATAATAGCCTACTTTTGGAAGTTAGGGTTATATTCTATATTGTGTGTGTGATATTTATAGGGATGCAAAGAGTATGCGTTTCAATTAGCATGTCATTTCAATCTTTTGACAGAAGTTAAACATATGTATGCCTTCCGTCTGATGTGCTATACCATTGGTGTATATATAAGCTATTTTGGGCTAACTTTATGTGGCATATGTTATATTTAACTTTTCTTTCATTGAAAAAAACCCTATCCCCCTCATTCACTCATCTCGGGCCCTTTCTTGTCTCGAGCGTACCCTCTTATTTAAAGGGAATAATCTGTAAATTGCATGCTGGTTTAGAATTAATCATAACAACTCAAAGTAAATAGGTCACAATGAGTGCTTCTTTCTTTCTTTACCACCCCCCTCACCTCCTCCTTTGAGTTAAATGGAAAGCACATGTGTCTCCAGGGTTTATTTTTACTCGCCTTTAAAGCAGTCAGAGGGCCTTGAAACCACTTCATGACTTTAAAGGAGAGTGGTCGTTACGCAGAGGGCACGAAATTACGGGACAGAGCGCACATGTCACCCTGGTGGTTTTCTTGCGTTCCACTGAGGAAATTATTAAAGGCGGCAGATGGGGACGTGGAGCCAGTGACGGCGCTACACCGGGGCTAGGGGAGCTATAGCCCCGTCAGAATTTTTGATAGCCCCGGTTTAGCCCCGTTTCTTTATGAAGTAACTCTGACATCATCAATATAATTAATTTTCTTAGCACCCCCACATATTGGTCTAGCCCCCTTTTAGCACCCATAGAGAAAAAATTCTGGCGCCGTGCCTGCGTGGAGCTGCAAAAAGCATGAGGGATGTACACGTGGTTAGCATTAGCATTAGCATTAGCGACATCCTAATGCACACATGGACTGTGACCTTTTATTTGAGCCAATATCTGTGAACTGCAGTCGCAAAGAGCACAGCTAGAAATCTTTATGGCTACTTAGGAATAGGCCATAAAGACTGTCCCATTAAAATATTTGCAGATTAGCTTCGCTAAACATTCCTAGCATGCAATGACTTTCAGCTATTTGTGTGTTAAGTGTGTTCTTATTGTTTGTTAGTGTATTCTTGGTAGTTGCTAGAGTGTTTTAGCATGTTGTTATGCTAAGGGTGTTCTTGGTGTTTGCTAGAGGTTTGTGAGTGATTTCTAAGCAACTGCTATTGGATTCTGAGTAGTTTTTAGCATGTTTCTCTAGGGGCTTTCACACTGAAAGAACAGTTTCATTCTTATAGCCTAACTATTGATGAAAGTACCTGCTTTTTTGTGTGTTCACACCTCAGGAACTGGGAATAATTTTTGTTATAGGAACGTCTTTTGGGGGCACTAAATTAGCTCCTACTTCAGAGTAGGGTCCAGCACAATAGGAACTACCAGTGATATATGTGTACGTTGATTGGCCGAACGCAGGTTTTTCTTGGTTTTTGATAGTATGTTTTGGGTGATCTACTAGAATATTCCGTATGGTTTTTACCATGTTGCTATGGGTGTATTTGATGTTTTCTAGAGCGTTGCTACAGTGTTCTGGCTGATTGCTATATTTGCTTCAAGCTGATGCTATAACTAGTTGACTTAATAATACCAGTAGCAACATTGCATTTTGAATTGTTGACACATTGTCTGACAGATTCAGATCAAATCAAGCTTGCGTAGCTAGAAGCATTCATCCTCACATATCTGCATACAGTGTGTTTCAGGCCACAAATGCATTCTGAAGTTA